TTCCTCTGTCTTCTCCTCATGCTTAGCTATCCACCATGCAGCTAGAAATTCCTGTATACTCAAGTGAAGGAACTGATACTTCTCTTCATCATATTCTTTGAATGTTGTCATCAATCCAAGATAATTTGCTTCCTTGACTGCCTCACTCAGTGACTGTACTTCATGTGAAGAGAATGTCATTCTTGTATTAGCCAGGTTAGTATAAGCTAATTGACACAACTCTTGTAAAGGTTTAGCGAATTGTGATGGTAATGAAGAAAGACTACCTAAAGTATATGGGTCAATATCATGTCTTTTAACATGTCTTCTGATTGTTTGTAGGATAAAGTTCTCATACAGTTGAGTGAGTGTTGTTGGTAAGTGTCCTCCTTCCTTACAATAAACTAAGATGACCATGGAACAGACTAGTGGCACATAACACAATGATTGGACATCATTTCGTATTTCAAGATCACTAACGAGTTTCACTGCTAGTTGTGAATCCTCGTCTACAGGTAATTGAACTTCATCATCACCTTTCTCATCACTGTCCACTTTCTTTCTACTTTGCAAATATTTAAGAATGTCTTGTCCTAGTTTTGTATCTTTTTGAAGTGTTTGTATAATGACTGTTGATATTTCTTCCTCAGAAAACCCAATGACCTGAACATGTCTGCTGAGATTAGGCAGCTCTAAGAGTGAAGAGGAGGCATAGCTACGAGAGGTAACAATTACTGAACATTGGTCTAACTGCTTTCTATTAATAATGTTAGCAGCTAATGAAGACTTTCTGCCTTGTTTACCTAGTTCATCCCAACCATCAAAGATTATCAGTAGTCCTTCTCCGTCCCTTTCTTCAAACCATTTAGGTACATTTTTATATCTATTAAGTTGATAATCAAACAGGTCAGCTAGTGTAGTAGCTTTAGCTATCTTGCTATTCCTTAAAGGACAATAAAGTACCAAGATATACTTTTGGTGTGGAAGTGTTCCATTGGACCACATATTTAACAGTTTACGACAGAGTGTTGTCTTGCCAATACCAGGAGGACCGTCTATTACTACTCTGAGAGACAGAGAACCATCTGTGGGTTGGAGGAGATCTTCAATATTTATCATTTTGATTTCAGTTAGTTCATATATTTTATCAATTTGCCCTCTTAGCATATGCCAAGCTGATTTTGCAACACCTGCATTGAAATCCAAGATTTTTTTTTCTATTAATGCTAATCTTCCAAAGTAATCTTTTCCAATTCTTGGTGGCCAGTCTGTAGCAACAATAGGTTGGTGTTTGTAGTGTTGTCTCATATTGTCAGCATATCCTTGAACATTATCAGGTAGTGACTTAATAAATGTTGAAACTTCTAGCATTGAATAGCCTAATGTATTGAGAATATAACGACACACATATAATGCACACACACACTCACCTAATTCCATTAACATAGAAGAAACAATATCAGTTAGTGCACGATGTTGCTGGTGTATTAATACACAACACATGTCAATTAAATACTGCTTTGAATCAGAATAGACTTCCAACTGTGTTTGAATGACATTCACAAGTTTACTAGCTTTCTCATTATCAGTTACTCCTAATACAAGCATCTCCTCTTTAGTTTGTTGTGGTATCAGGTCTTTAGCATACAGTGCATCAGTTACATTGCACAGATTCACACTAATAGCTTGAACTAATTTATATGAATGACTCTGTAGGATATCCTTGGGAATACCTGCAGTATATAGTGTATCAGTTAAAGAGTGTTGTATTGAGCATATGTGCTTATATATACCTGATGGTGTAGGAGTAGCAGGTTCAGGAGTTGGTACAGTAGGAGTATTATTACCGGTACCTATTATATATATATGCATTAAATAATTATTAATGATACAAATACATGATCATACCTCTTGGACATTGTAACTGATCATTAATAGTTTGTAATAAATTAATCTCTTCTCTTTTAGTCAATGCATTGAGTACATCGCTCCAAGCTGCTGTAGGATCTGTATTCAACCATTTCGTAAATAAAGCTAGTTTTTGGTGTTTAGCATCTACTTGTTCTATCACTGAAATTTCATGTTGTGTTATTCCAGGTAAGAGAAGGCCAAATGGTTTCCAGTCAACAAGTGGTTCAAGCCATTGAAGTAACAGGAAAATATCAGGTTGATCATCAATCATAGGACCAGGATTAAGTTCAACATCTCCTGATAAGAGGAGGAGCATGCGTAGACAAACAATCAAATAGAGATCATTGTAAATCAGGTTAGAACTGCTGCCTCCAGGTAAGACTATTGATTCGAGGTAGTTCGTATCAGTAACAGTAACGCCAGTAGTACATTGTACTTGGTAGCAGTTACCTAATGATAAAATACCACTATATAAAAGTGCAAAGTTGCAATTGCTATTTACCTGTTGGAGGAGTCATGATACACACTGAGAGAGAGCAGAAAGAAATAAAGAGTAGGAGGAGGAGGAAAGCATTAAGAGACATAGCTACTGCTGGCAGTTTAGACGTCTTCTCTCCTGATGTAGTACTGCCTGACTCGCTGTCTACTGCAGCTCTGAATGAGTGAGAGTGGCAGCCATTAGCTGGTCTACTGGAGGCAGCTTGACAGTAGTTCCACAGTCCAATACTTGCTCTCCATTGAGAGACATCAATCATCTTGTAATTATACTCAAGTATTGTCACTATAGTGGTAAAGAGTACAGAAGTGAGCGGTGTATGTACCGTACGCGTCTTAATTTTCGAGGTGTATTAAATTTCGTTATTTTCGTGCTCACCTTAAATCCACGAAATTTAAACCACCTCTAATGCCATTCTATTGTATGTAGACTATGGCCAGAACACGAAAATTAGCTCACACGAATATTAACTTTTGCATTGTTTACCTATGTTTACCACTTCTTATTAATTTTTATCCATTTTTACCACTGTAAAATTTTGTTGACTCATGTCTACTTCTCTTTGTCCATGTTTCCTAATGTTTACCTATGTTTACTAGTGTTTACCACTGTATATCACTGTTTAATGTTTACTATTGTATAATCACTGTTTGCCTTTGTTTATCGCTGTTTACCACTGTGTATTGCTGTACATCACTGTTTACTTTTGTTTATCATTGTTTACAACTGTTTGCTTATGTTTATTATTGTTTGCTGCTGTCTACTTTTGTTTATCATTGTTTACAACTGTTTACTTATGTTTATCATTGCTTACCTATGTTCATCACTGTTTGGCATTGTTTACCACTGTCTATTCATGTTTATCACTGTTTACCACTGTCTATTTATGTTTATCACAGTTTATCATTGTTTGCCACTGTCTATTTATGTTTATCACTGTTTATCATTGTTTACCACTGTCTACTTATGTTTATCACTGTTTACTTTTGTTTACTTATGTTTATCGTTGTTTACTACGGTTTATCATTGTTTGCCTAGGCTTACTTATGTTTATCACTGTTTAGGATGATACAAGAGTTCTGTTCCCACACTGATGTTTACTAAATTAACAGTAAACTCTGGAGTTTGGCTAAATCATTGGTCTTAAATCAAGCCTTATCTCAACTTTTGAGCAAATTTCATTGAAAACACGAAATTTTGAACCCTCGAAAATTTGGATGTATACGGTATACTTGAATTATATTCATGGATCAATAACACTATGCTTTGAGAAGTATCTGTCTGTCAGTAGTATGCAGTGCATAGTGATTGGTACCACTCCTTTACGACATTTATTATTGTCACTACTGATGGTATTTTGACTAAAATTTGGTCATTTTACAAATCTTAAGGCGGATTTACAATATGACATTAGGCCAGCGTACCATCAATTTTTAATCAAAAACGTGGGCAATTTGACTTTTTGATGCATGCTTTCCCCTAGAATAGAACCAAATCCTATTCCAGCATCAACGTAATGTCAGGACTAGCGTAATATTGTAAATCTACCTTAAAGAGCTAATGTCTTAAGCCAGGCATACACTAGGCAACATGTTGCTGGCAAAATATGTGGTTACTTTGATCTTGTAAGCAACATGTTGCCAGAAGCTTTATTTCTGGCAATATTTTGCTTACAAGATCAAAGTAACCACAAATTTTGCCAGCAATATGTTGGCTAGTGTATTCCTGGCTTAAGATTGAGCAGATCATGTGTTATAAAATATATAATATAAATTGAGCTCACATTTGAATTAATTGGAAGTACAACAGTGAGGAGTACAGCTTGTAGACTAACAGTCAGTTCAGGATTGCCGCTATAAAATGTTCAAAAATAGACATCAATCAACAATCATCTTGTAACGAACAACTGACAAGGTAGGCGTCGACGCGACTAGACTCGCACCTAAAAGGGTGTGGCTCAATATTAGATGATCTAATCCAGAACCGTCCAGAACACAACTTAACAGAATGAATAGCAACACTGATCTTACCGAATTGTGTTTAGAGCTTGAGGCTATAGAGCAACTAGCTGTAGATATACGAGTAGAGAAACTGTGCGTATCAAACTATTAATACACGTAATGACGTAATGGATGTATTCTTGATTTTTCAGGATGGGTGTGTCAATGGAACTAGCACCCCATGAAAATAATTTAATACTTGAAAACACTAAATATCATTAAACTATTTTATGTATCCCAATAATTGGGAACAGGTTGTTATTAGACTCTGAAGATAAAGCAGCTGAATGTAGAACGTAGAGCAACAAATTCATGACAAAAACATCAGCTTTGAATTTATCAACAATTGTAATTGTTGATAAATTATAAGAGAACAGTTTCTGTCAATTAGCATTTTCTAAACAGGCATAAAGAAACATGGCAGGAGTTAGTCTAACATGAAAATATTTCACTCCCCAAAGTGAATCTTATTCCTACTCCATTGTAATGCAAGTACCTTTGAAAATATTCACAATTAATTGTATGTGCTTTACCATTTTAAAAATTTTCCACAATTTGTGTTTGATATCTCCATACAGCCAAATTTTGCCATAAATAAAAAGTAGAGAATTTTACATTAATTTTTATAATTTTATTTGATGCATATACATGTGCTTATGTTGTGTCTAAAGTTTGGCCTCATTCTGACTATTGAAAATTATGCAATGGATGGCCTCAGGATTTTTAATTGCTCTGTAACCACACCCACATTTAGATCTACCACGCCCCTCACCAAAACCGACCAAAGAAAGGATGCCTCTACCAAAATCAGCTTCCATAGGAGCACGAGCAACAGACGTCTATTCTGAGTCATGTCCGCTAGTGATGAACTATATAAAAGAGAGAGGAGGAGGCGGAGAAGGAGAGCTACCCCAACTACTACCTTATCTGAGACAATTGTTGACTTGCTGCGCGTGTGCTGGACTACTGAGAGACCCAATGGTGTCCCTCTCGTGTGGACACTGCTACTGCTACGAGTGTCAGTTTGTGGAACCATTACTGAAAATACACTGTCGACAATGTAGAGGGAGGGAAGGCCTAGTCATTAATAATCAGCTAAGACTAGTCGCTAGTTTATACAGGGAACTCATTCGTTTATTGGGACTGGCCACACCTACCGACCACGCCCTACAGGAACTGGTACTGGAAGTGACGGAAGGTGTCAAAGTCTCGAAAGGATTGTTTTATATATTACCACCCACACGTTATCGGAAATTAACGAGTTTGAAACCTTTGAAGAGCAAATCAAGAGAGACCTCATCGTCGATTTGCGCTGATCCGATATCAGACGATGATGCTAATATCACTGATTTTGATATTGATGCTGATTTATGTGTCAACGAGGACTGCATTAGAGCGGAGGCTTTAACGAGCGCCGACAGATCGAGCCATTTCAAAATAATGAGAGACAGTAACAAAACAGTATCATCATCATCATCGTCGCCATTACAGAT